GCTTGTCATCGTAATAATGACTTCTACAACAACTAAAATACATCAAAATTCCAATTGCAGAAACGGTTGCTTCACAACCTAATAAATAAAAATAATAATTCATGTGTCTTTCATTAAAAAAAAAGGAGATTAATTAACTTAATCTGCACAATGGGTTATCTGTGCTGCACCCACCACGTTATCAAATGCGAGTTTTTAGCTTTATAAATCTTCAGCTGAACCACAGGAGGGCGAGAAGTATGATCAAATACTCTAAAATCATTAATAAAATAATTATCTAAATCATACTTTTATGAGTTGAGTTACAAATAATATTAAAGTAGACAACGTCTAATTCATCAACTAATCACTTCTTCTTTCTAAACATAACATGAACAAACAAATGTTTTTGACCAATGGTTCCCAAACTCTTTTAGTCTGCGGCTCTCGTGATGTGAATAAAAAGGTTTGAGCCTCCCCCCAACCTATAACTTTAGCATGATGATTGAAAAACAGCGCCATAGGAAAAACAATAACATCCCCTTTCGAGATACTGTAGGCTCGGCATGGCCAGGTGGTTAGGGCGCTCGACTCGTAATATGTGGGTCGCGGGTTCGAATCCCCGTCACACTAAACATGCTCGCCCTTTCAGCCGTGGGGGTGTTATTATGTGACGGTCAATCCCACTATTCGTTGGTAAAAGAGTAGCCCAAGAGTTGGCGGTGAGTGGTGATGACTAACTGTCTTTCCTCTAGTCTTACACTGCTAAATTAGGGACGGCTAGCGCAGATAGCCCTCGTGCAGCTCTGCGCGAAATTCATAACAAACAAACAAACAAACGAGATACCGTATCATTTAATTAAGTCAATATACATTTATCGGCTTATTGTTTATTTAGAATTAAAATTACTTCAACATCTTTGTTTTCGGTCCAGTTTTTGGCGGTCCCTCAGAAAAGGTTCAGAGGGGCCGCAACTCTCACTTTGGGAAACCCTGTTTTAAACAATAAACAAATTGCAAACTTAGAATGATGTATCCAACAATACGAATCAAAACATAGGTAGAGTGACGCTTGGTCTTGAAACCTATCACAGAAAGATCGGTACATCGCTATACCAACTAAACTTTTTGAATCAGTAAATCTGTACATAATTCGACGCTACAACGCTTTTTGCACTACCTCTAATGAAAAGAGAACAGGTTAACAGAACCTAGTTGTTTCCAGATCGACTATGAGAAACGTTTTAGATAAAATCTACATGATAAAGGATCTTAATCATCTCTTTGATATCCTCAAACTTTTTTCCACAAAAGGCTCAGAGAATAAGAATAGGTCATAAGCGTCTTAAAATGTTAGGTAAAAATAAAACTTGATTGAGCTATAAAAAATAAAAGCGTCGAAAAAAATTATTTCAAAGAAAAAAATATCAAAGGATTTAAAAAATATTTGAACTAAATCATTAAACTTTCTAGAAAATGTATGCATTTAAATGTTATGTATATTTGTTCCTATGATTAGAAAGCCAAAGTAATACCTAAAAACGAATAAATGACCTCACCATTTAGTAGTCTCTTTATAATGACTCCGCAATATATTAGAACAATTCAACATCTAAATTTATAAACGAAATTAAATCTAAACATAACCGTAAATTGGAATCATACGATTTTCTTAAATTACTTTGAAAATACATTTAGAACAATTTTATAGTTTGTGGGGGTCTAGTAGTTCAGATTATTTCCTTAAAGGCTCGTTGCTGTTATAACAATACCTAAGATATTATACTTTGTAGCCTAAATAATGTTCGATTGTTTTTTTCTCCCCCGATAGTGAAAAGTAATAGACTTTTAAGAGTTAGGATGCAAAACATCTTGAGTTATTTAATATTCCAATCTTTTTGTTGTAGTCATATTTACTAGTTATAATTTTCAACTTTTGTTTCAAATATCGTAAAGCATCACTAACCGAATAAAACTTACAGCGATTTGTGTATTATTGATTAAACAAACTTAAACATCCAACGTTAAAACTCATGGACTTGTAGAAAGTGAATAGCTTCCCTTATCGGGATTTTTGTTATTCATCAATTGCAAAATTTAAATACAATAAACGTATAGTAAAGTAAAATCAATTGGATTTCAAAGTTCTACATCCGATTATGGTAAAATTAAAGTACAATTAGAAAGGCAAGTGAATATAATTTGTCTCCCCCTTCCGCAGGATGTACTGGGGCATAACAAATTGTGATCTTATTATATATAAGGCAGTTAGTTTCTAAGTAAGTATATTCATTCACAGTGACAGAAATTTTATTAGTGATATTTGGACACGTAAGACCTATTATTCGACACCGTATATGCATTTTCAGGTATTGTGTGAATCAAAACACTATTAATAACAATCCTTTTTACCGTTTAGCTACGCGACTAATGTTTTTATGTTCAGAGATCCTTATTACAAGCATTGCAAGGTTTTCAAAAGAAAGAGAGATATCCCAAATATGAATGTTTTCGCCTATAGGGTTGTCGTAAGGTATCTTTGTGCAAAATCTCATCTGGATTGGTTGAAATATAAAGAAATACAAAGCCAAAAACCTTAATATTGCGATTTTGTTTTTTTTATCTTTGATCCCTTGAAAGTTAAAAACAAGAAACAAATATGAAATCTGTCTGTTTAGTCTGTCGGAGTTGTCGCAATATATCTATGTGCAACGTTTCATTTGGATTGAGAGGAAAAATGGAACTGCAGCCCAAAATATGTGTTTTATATTGTTTTGTCTTTATCCACCTGAAATCGAAACGGTAGCCAAGAACAAAGAAGTTCCGCTGGACATAGTGGTTCAAGGTATTAGGCCTCAAAAACTCAAAACAACCAACTAATAAATATAAGCGTGATGCTGAATTGTAATTGTTGGAATGAAGGAGAAAAGAAACATGGAAAATATAACATGTCTCCCTCCCTATGAGAGAGACACAACGAAGTTTTTATGTGAAATAAGTTGCACTGTTCATCTCATTGTTTTCACATAAAAAAAAACAAGCTACAAAGTGAAAATTAGCCCTACTTCACAAAATTGGACAAATCGATTAAAAATAATATTGGTTGTTTTATAAACAATCAATACTATTACTTAACATTACAAAACCTTAGTTGAGCTTTATATTTAATGTCTGCAGTCTAATTTCTTGGTACGACAGTGGTAAAAAATATTTTATGCAAACAACTCATAAGATGTGGGAAACTTATTTTTATGATAATCTTTCCCTGAAAACTGAAATAGTAAATGTGTTAAACCGTATTTTTCTGTTCTCCTTTTATTTTTTTAGCCATGTGTATTTTTCCGTTGTGCATATATAACTGAATATACATATATACAACTGTATGTATATATATATAAAACTGGCTTAGACAATAAGTCTACATTATTACACAGTGGAGCACAGAAATAACATAAGTAAATAGCTGTAAAGTATTCATTCGTCGCTAAGATGAATAGTGTATCACTGTTGAATAATAGCCGAGAGTGTGCATGATTTATTCTCTCTGTATATCAGCTTTCATTTCAATTTCCGAACATTAATATTATGTTTCCATAGCATCTTGACTATCGCATTTTATCAGTGCTAAGCCTCTCATAAGGCTTCACAAATCATATATAGTTACTTTTATTAGCATAAACATAATTATGAAAGTATAATGTATAATCAGTGAAGAAAATCCAGAATTAGGAGAGGCGTCTAAATCCATGAAAATAATGTAATTGTTCGTCTTACTTTTAATATTTTGTAATATAAATTAAAAACACTATTTTTGATACCGATACTTTACATATTCGATGTGATTGAACCAAATATATATATATATATATATATTGATTTTGTTTTTTCTAGGTAGCTTAAATTGTCGTGGATTTTGCACGATTATATCTATTTATAAATTGTTATGAATTAGCAGCGTTACCCGGCATTTCCTGCTCTCTCTGTTTCCCCGTTCCATATTGTGAATTTATGAAAAAGAAAAAACAGCCTCAGGTTTGATGTTTGAAAATAAACTACGAACCTGTTTTCAATCAGGGCTTCTTTATGAACGATGTTTATACTGGCAAGGATAAATAGACCCTTATGGAGAATATTTAGATTATCTTATACATGAATAAGTACCCGTTCTGGCGAACAGGATAAGCCTAGCTTTATTCACTCATCCCCCGTCATCCCTCCTCAACCATTAAAATTGCAAACGTAAATATATATGTAATATTGTGTTGCATTTGCTCTAATGTAAATTTATTATATTTTTATGAATGTTGTACCGTATTCACAATATGACATTGGTGTATGAAATATAATATGAACAAAATGCAATATTGTACAATATAATGTATCAAATGAGAAAAAAAAAAACACTTCCAGGTATCAAACCACCGGGAGAAAAAAAAAAGTAGAATAAAATACATTCGCTGGTTTGACTTTATTCTCATTTTACACAATAAATATTATAATGTAAGCCATACTCGTTTCACATAGTCTATTTTATGGAAGACAGCATAATTATATTTTACAAGCTAGACCTACTGTTTGCTTTTCAACACACACCATGCTAATTCTGCATAAATTTCCTTTGTGTTTGAGGTTAAATATACGACTTATTAGTAGATGTATACTTAATAAACTATAACTAAATAGGCCTGTGTATTCTAATAGCAATAAAAATATATAAGAAAATAAAATTTCCAGGTTCGACCCACCTTCCACCTCATACAAGAGATTTGCCAATTTAATTTCATTGTACATAATAAGTATTATATATTAAGCCTTACTGTTTTCACGTAGTCTATTTTATGGCAGACGCCATAATTCTATTTTATAGGCTAGGCCTACTGTTTGCTTTTTCACACATTGCATTCTAATTCTGCATACATTTCTTTTGTTTGTGAGGTTAAATATATGATGTATTAGCAATTATTTATGAATAAATATCCTTATAATGCTATATTCTAAATTAAATGTTAACTCAAACTTACCAAAAATGTCAAGTCTGCGTAGAATTTATTCTTGTAATGTATTTGTTAACGATAAAATCACTGGTTCGGCAAGCAGATGATAGATGCGTATATCAACGAAAAATTGTCGTTTTGCGTACCTTCATGTGTGGGAAATGTGATCTGCGCAGTGAACGAAACGGACAAACAAGCAAGCAAGCAGAGATATTTTGAGTTTTATATATAGATATCATCACAAAAGATAAAAATTTACACAAACATAGGCCTTTGGCTCACCAAGCAAAATTAAATAATTTGCTCATTTCATTTTAGGCATTGGCGAACTAAGTCATTCATTAGAACATAATTCATACAAATATGTAAATAATTATGTACACATACTCAATTTAATAACAAAAATAGCCTCTGTGTAATTATAGATGATGGGAATGATATATAAGTGTATCTCTAACTAATATAACACCTATTCTGATGCTATATATATGTAACTGTATAAATATATCAAAATTCATTACAATGTGTAATTTTATCATAAGTTGAAAATGACATTTCCGACACCTAATGTGGCTAAAAACAAAAGTATTTTCTGTAATACAGAATTATCTGAGTCATAGATAAAGGCACCTGAATGTTATTCATAAATTTAAACCACATCACAACATTATAATTATCAAATAAAGACAACTATAACATAATAATATCTAAAACCACGAATGAATCATTAAAGTTTTTGTTATGGAAAATAAGTATGGGCAAATATTTCACGTATGACCTTTATTAGACCACAGTCAACCCGATAAAGATAATTCAACCGAGACTTTGACCACAAGTCTTGTATGTAGAATAATTTAAATCATTTTTATATTATTCCAGGTGATAAAATGCTTAAATATTTCATAACAAAAGCCTAAAAAAATCAGCAGATGGATGCACTTTAAGGTTAAGTTAATATATATATATATTTTTTCCTGACTATACTTACAATCATCTAATATAAAACAAGCAAGTATTTATAACTGCTGCGTAAAAGAGAAACATTTTATCATATTGTTACACCTCCGTTCGTTAGTTAATTTTCCGTATAATTTTTTCCGAAAAAACTTTAGCGATACAAGTCCTTTCTTAAATAAAACTGGTTTATTCTTTCTGAATACAACTTTGCAATACACTTAATTTCCACAGTCGCGCTATAACAAACGCTATAATTCACAACGAACACCTCTCGTGCTCGACTCAACTGTCCGTATCTATCTCTGTCTGCAGTTCAATTACACATTACATTACATTGTTGCCGTCACTTCTTACCGGTCTTATATATACAGGAATACCGCATATCTAGTAACCACTCGAAACTTCAGGAAGTGACGTGAACGTTCGAGAATATGACGTGTTACTAGCGTCACGTGACCCCCACTGTCGTAACAATAGTATAAAGTCATTAATGTGATATGTATCCTCGTGTAAATGAATTCAGTCACACAACCAAATCGAGTATCATATTCATGACATATTGTATGACAGAACCCAAGGCAGAATCTGATTCAAGGTATGAATATGCTCGCCATCTTATGTTGTTGGAACCAAGAATTTCTCTGCTTAAAATATCTTTCAAAGTATTTAAAAAGGCGCAGTTGTAAATACGGAAAACTACAGAGGAAGAGATGTAAGGAATATTTAATTGTAATGTTATTTGTAGTATTGTTCTTCAATGAAAAGCTAACTGTGATCGTTCCATTATTATTTAAAAGAGTAAGATTCATAGATTACAACCGAAATTAGCAGTTTGAAAAGGTGTGTTCATATGATCAAGATAACTCCTTGAAAGGCATTGCTTGCTACGTATTGAGCACTATGAGGTAACATTGTTCGTTCCTTCCTATATATACGGTAACTGCTTAATTGATGCCGAAAACATGACTGTTAGACCTAATTACACCTAATAAACTTCAAACATAACAACAAAACCCACTATGTATAAAACACTTTATTACAAAAAGCTTACCTATATATATATATATATACTACTTAAAGGAGCATAAAGCGTTTTTAGTTACTTTATTATATGCTTCTCACACTGTAGGTTTAAAAAAGTGACTGATTTTCGACATTATTTTATATTTTTGTTGTTATAGAAAAAATAACAAGGCCTAAATATAACAACTATCTCTATCTGACAAACCTATTCTAAACTTCAACATTTTTTAAACAGATAAATATGGTAGGCATTTGAAATAAATATCAAGTTTGCTAGAAGCCAAAGTTAAAGATGATATAAACTAAAATTACTCACAGTGATATATTCTATTCTAATGTGAGACGAGAACCTGATGGAGAAACGACTAATACCTTCGTCTTTGTAATCGGAGAATGAAGATCAAGTTTTAACTCAGAATAGAAATGGATTTTACAACAACTACGTTATCTTTGGTTTTTTCTTACTTTTTTACAAGCAGCAAACTAATCAGACATTTTAATCAACTCATTTTTCACGGATGAACACGTCGACGGAACTTAAAACTTTTCGTATTGCCAGCTCACATAGGAACAAGTAAAATCGTTTGGTGATAAGAAAGTGAACTTTTCTAGAAAAAGAACTAATACTCGCCAATTTTTCATCTATGATCTAACCCTCTACTTACTGACATTTCATTACTGATAACGACGCAACATGTTTTCATTTTGACTCATCTGAGTATGTGCTCCTGGGAATATAATGTTTTGTGTAAAATAACGTAATATGGTATTTTAGTTGAAACTAAACATTTATAAATATCTCAGTCATACAACTTGCTAGGAAATTTTATTTGACTGAATATATATTATAGCACAAATACTCAGAAGAAAAATCCTTTAATTAATTTTGCTGACAGCCATCCTCGACATTACTTTAGCGAATATATGAAGAATACATCACAGAAATTTAATATTGGATGTAAATATTGGATATTTCGTGTACACGATCTTCCAGACATCCACTTTGAAAAATAAAACGTTTAAATTGTATATTTGTGGGGGGGGGGGAGCTGGAGATCAAAAGACAAGTACAAGATAAGCCCTATATCTTTTTATATTTTAATCTCAGACAAATTTTCTTATAATTGATAACTTTTAAATTTTCATATGTTATATCTGCCTACTTCTAGGCCAGACGATTGTTTGTACAGTAATGGTAACAGCTAGACTGTTATTCTTAATGTCTGTCACTTTTAATGTCGTGTAGTGGGAAGAGGTCTTTACTCTACTTATTTTTATTGAAGATACAACCTCTTCTTTTTTACATAAAAAAGGAAAGAAATGACTGTGTTCCTTTATAGTGGTTTATACTTTCTTAAAACAGATTGTATATTGTACTTTACACACAACGTTCGTTAGGTCCACCTTTTTAAAATTCAAATTAGACCTAGTCCTGTTCTAGAATAGATACTAAACTATAAGTAAATTGGAATAGATTATGATACGAGATAAATATATAATGTAAAAAGGAAGAGAAAGAAAAGTAGGAATCAAGGGAGAGAAAAATGAAAGGAAAGAGGAGGGAAATAAAATAATAAAATATACACATTTTATAATAGTGTACAAGTTGTTGTGTGATTAATTTTAATATATATATCTGTATTAATATGTAATAATGACAAATGATTATATATAATTTTAATTACGCAGTTAGAGATTACTTAGTTATAGGTACTCCTACAATGTGTCATGTATTTAGCAACATTGCAGTTAGGAATGGCGGTTCGTTTATATATGCAATGCACATATTGCATGCCCAAGAACTGTTAAAAAATATTATAAAGCATTTTTAAGAAACATAAAATATACATAAACTATATGTAACTAATTTGGTCAAGACGGTTTTCTCCTTGTTTGTCAATGCTACATGCTCCAAGGTGCATCACGTTACCTAAACAACATGACGCCGCGTGCAACTGATCTCTCACTCAACTATGTTATCGAATAGGTAGTTAAGGTACGAAGTGCAGAATTGAATTGTCTCTATTGGAACACGTACCATTAAAGTCAGTGAGTCAAATTTTACGTGATTGGCTGCACATCACAAAACACATCACCATACCAACCTAACCAAGTCTCGTTTGCATACTGTATCGAGCTATTGAGAAATTGCGTAGTTAACGCGATGCTAGTTTCTCGTCTATTTAAACGCTCTCGAAGTAAAACTTCTACTTCTCAAAGGAAAAATTTAAACGCTTAATTTATAAGTTTTGGGGATTACACTAGACAACAAAAAAAATTATACTGCAGAAAACTCAAGTGATTCGGAGTAATTTGATGGTGCGGGTTTCAAAAATGTAGTCAGAATTTGTTCATCGCCTCTAGATATTTAGTGATTGTAATATCTCAATATTTTATCAGAACTATGTGAAATACCATGCAGTCAACTCATTAGAATATATTTATGCTGTGAAAATAAGTTTACTTGGCCAGTTTAATGCATAAAAGGCATACATTTTTGATAACTTCAAACATTGACTGTATTGTATTGGAGTAAACTTTCAAATATATTGTTCATATATGCTATTTGTTCTCGATAAAATCGTAGCGAATTGCATCACTTTTGCTGCATTTCCATGCTCACATGCTCCGCCCGGGAATCACGAAACCCTCACGTGGTCAGCTTACTAGAACATTCGAGAAGTTCCTCGACTGAGCACAAAAGGAACAGAATCAAACGTTTCTCACTCAGTTGCCTCTCATTCACTCAGTTGGTCACTTTGCTTCACTCCGTGCACAGTAAAAACAAAGTTCGATCTTCTTCTTCTCATCATACTAGTGATATATTCAAATTCTGGAAAATTTGTTGTTGTTTTTTTTTAACTCTAGTTCTATAAACATAAATTATTTTATGTTTTTATAAAATTTTATGAATTTCTGGCTGCCTCCAGTTCAAGTAAAGACTAAAAGTGCAAAAATCACCCAGACCGTTTCTTCTACGTTTGTGGAAAATATATTACAGATTCGCGAAGGAAAAACATTACACATAAGGTGAAGGTAGCTCACTGCCTCTATTTTGAGTGTAAAAACATTGGGCTCCACATTTGTGTTGTATAGTTTGCACAACCTGC